CTGTGACTGCTTTGGGGATATTTTCCTTACCATTTGAAGCTGAAGTCGGTGTCATTAGAGTTCATGGCCAGAATAGCAGGAGTGAAATGTTTGTTTATTAATTTTTTAATCTCATTAAAGTGTCTTGTGTCAGTCTGGAGAGATGACTCAACAGCTTAGAATACTTGCTGCTCTTTCAGAGGAAGGACCCAGGTTCAATTCCCAGTGTCTACATCAGGCAACTCACAACTGCTGGTAACTTGAAATCCGGGGGATATGACACCCTCTTTTGTCCTCCACAGACACTTGCATACACATGGTACACATACATACACCCAAGTACTTATACCATGTGTAAAATAAAAATAAACCTTTTTTCAAGATTAATGTTAAGAATACTTCAAATAAGCATGGTTGATGGAAACAAAGAGAGCCTTATTGCCTCTATCCATATTTGAAGCCTGGATCTGTGACCGCACCAAAGGCCTCTACACAAGTCCCCAGCAAATACTCCTGAGGCCAGTCCCAGGGCTTCCAGGGCAGGATAGAGATGGGAGCAACCCTTGTGCCACATCCAGGCATCCACTGGGAATCAACTTGTGGCCTATCCTAAAAGTACACAACACTGAGGCTCCTGCTCACATCTGGTGTCTGCGCTTCACACTGGAGCTCGCACCAGTTCTCAGATTCTGAACTGTGGCAGTGCAGTGCCCTCTAGATGCAATGACATAACGCCAACATGCCTGAAGGCTCTCCCAAGGCTCACCCTGTGGAGCCTGAGAGACCACCCTCCAGGCTCTAGGGAAAGGCTGAGTGCCTGCACGCTGACTCGCTCCAGCCAGATGCATCTGAATCTTCAGTTAAGTGAGGCATTCTGGAAGGCAGTGGGGCACTGAGCAGGCCTGTACAGAGAGCCTTGGTTTCTTTGTGCTAAATCTAGTGCATGACAGGGCTCAGAGCCCATTTGTTGATAAACATTTGAGTATCAGAATATTCCAAGTTCTTTTGAACAAAGCACAGATAGTGGGTGTCCCCATTCTGACCCCTTCTGGTTCAGCAGGAATAAAATCAGATCAATCCTAGGATGTTTGGGTTTTAAAGTTCTCCTGGAAATTCCACAGGGTCCTCCAGCTGGAATTGTTGCCTCTGTTTCAATGGGTAAAACTTTGTCTTCGTTCTCAACATTTCCACACTGCAAAATGCAAAGAACTATCTGGAGAGCCTTGCGTCTTGCGTTACTCTTGTTAAGTGGGGGAAGGGAACATGTCTGCCACACCTTAAGAAACAAGGCTGCTGACCTCAAATCCCTTTGCTGGGTGTCCGGAGTCTCTCTTAGAAGGAAAATCTGTGGACACCACTTCCTCGTAAGATACTTGGACAGATCCAGAGCTCTATTCCCGCCATCTCTCCAGGAACCCAGCCAGAGATGGTGGGTGACAGCCTTTCCTGTCACTCCTGCAAAGTTTATTCAACTCTCCCCTTCCCTCAAAACTGGAGTCTGCATCATTCCTCTGATGGCCTCGCTTTTGTGAAGCCCTTAGCATTTCTTCCACATCTGGCTAATTTGGCACTCCTACAGAGCCTGGGAGTGAGCAGAGCCTTTCTCTGTGGTATTGGAAGCCTTGAGGAATATTTGTTCTGTTCTTTATTCCTAAAACTCCCTCCTGCTCACCTCTCTTCTCAGAGAAGAGTCTCGGTAGCAATGAACTGGACACCGGGTCTTTACCATTCTTAACCGGAAGAGGAAACATGGGGTTGCCCAATGAGCAAATGTTTCTAAGAAACTGGCATTTCGGTTCTGAAAGCAAGTTATTCTTCCAAATAGCCAAGGCACTCTATTATATTTATGAACTATTTGGTGGCTGCTACCATTATTGTTGTTGGGCTTTCCTTTTTTAAATTTTTTCTTTATTTTTGATAATTTGATACATGTATACAATGAACTATGATCATATCTATCCTATCATCCCCCCAAACTCCTTTTACCGCCCTCAACAGGTACCCTCCCAACTTAACATTGTATCTCTTTCCTTGATAATTCACCAAGTACAGTTAGTGTTGCCCTTATGGATACAGATGTAGGACCAGGACCATCCACTGAGCATGGAAAACCTACCAGTGACCACATCCTCAAAAAACAAAAAACAAAAAAACCAAAAAGCCTCCCTCCCCCAGCAACAATTTCCTACCAACAGCTCCTCAGTAAGGGGTGAGGCCTGGAAATCTTCTGTCCCTTCTATGCTGGGGGTTTGGTTGGCTTGACCTCGTACATGCGGACAGTTGCTATGAGTTTGGGAGCGCAATAGCTGTGTCTGCTCTAGAAGCCAGCATTTCACATCGCTGCCCACCCATCCTCCAGCTCTTGGTTCTCTCCACCTTTTCTTCTGTGGTGTCCTCTGTGCCTTTGTGGGCGGGGGAAATACAGATGTCCAGCTTAGGGCTGAGCGCTCGGTCCCTGTTCTCAGCACTTCCTGCAGTTGTGAGCCTCTGTACTGGCTGCTGCCCACTGGGAGTGTCGCTTCCCTAACCAACACTGACAGTGGTCCAAGTCTGACAGCGCCAGGAGCTGGAGGCATTTATTGGGTTTCATGTAGCCCAGGCTGCCCCCCACCTTCCTGTAGCGCTGATAACAACCTTCAACTCCTGATTGCACTCCTGCCTCTGTTTCCAAAACACCAGGGACACAGGTGTGTGCCACCACTCTCCCCTGTGGCCATTATTCAATAAGACTCAGGCATAAACAAATGTCAGGCAACTTCTACCAAGCCTGGAATGACAAGAACATGTTCCCTAGAGACATACCCTGGGAGAAAGCTTGGCTACTAGGGGAAAAGTGACCTCTTTGCTACCCGTTCTTTCTCACCACAGGGTAGGTCACATAAGTCTGGTTCTGATGGGTGGTGGGAGTGTAGGTATCATTCAGAGGGCTTAGGAGAGCTGGAATCCAGCCTGCTGGCCACTGTTCCTGCTGTGCATTGGCTGGCTATATTTGGGCAAGTTACTTAGACCTTCTCATTGGTCTCCTTATGTGTATAAAGTTAATCACTGTCTCCTTACAGGGTTACTAAATGAGTTAACACAAGTGAAAAATAAGCAGGATATAAAGTTGGCTAATAGTCTCTCAGTGAGCATTAGCACGATTTTGATTCTTCCTGGAGAGGCACCCTGGAGCGATGGCAGACCTTGTTCTGGCTCTCCCTGGTATTACTTTGCAAATGGAAACACGAATTCCAGCTCTTAGTTTCTTCATGTATAACATTAAAACACTAAAGTTGGGAAGATAGCTCCATTAGCAAAGCTCCTGACACATAAGCATGAGGGTCTGCTTTGGATGCCCAGGACCGGCTTACAAGCTTGTACTCTCAGGCCTGGGGGAGGAAAAGCAGGAGGATTTTGGAACCTCGATGGTCAAGCAGCTTAGCCTAGTTGGCACTAGGTCCCAGTCAGAGACCTTATCTCAAAAACTCAGATGGACAAGTCCCAAGGATCAACCATGAGGGTGACAGCTGACCTTTAACCTGAGTGCACATAAACACACACATGAACACCCCCACATAAGGCAACACACCCACTTACACATTAAAAATATTTTTTAAAGGTCAACTGTGGTGAACACATCTTTAATAACAGCAATCAGCAGACAGAATCAGGCAGAGCTCTGTGAGCTTGGGTCCAGCCAAGGCTACATAGTGAGACCCTGTCTTGGTAAATAAGGAAGTTAATAATGAATGCATCTTTAAAATACTAATAGCCTGGTGTGCCTATCTTTCAGAGTGGCAGTCAAGTTCAAAGAACTAGCAGATGAGAAAATTCTCTGTTGACTACAATCCTGGACACACTGGAGGTGGGGCTGGCATCTCCACTCGCCTGGACCACTGCTTTACACATGGCTGCCTGTCTTCCCCTGCTTCCTCGGCTGGACTGGTCCCAGCTTGCTCTTTCTTACATCAGCTGTGATGCCCTGCGGTATACCCATCCATAGTAGGGACTCGGTGAACTGGGACACAGTGAGCAGCACTCTCCCTGTGGTCATGTCTTTCTGGTGTCGATTCAGGCAGCCTGCCCTCCACTGGACGGCTTGTGTTAGTTTTAGCTCCCTCCACCCTCACCCCTTCTACCCTGCATCAGAAGCACCTCCACATAAGGTACGAGTACAGCAGTTTCTGCAATGAGGCATCCACTCACACAGCAAGGTCCCAGTGTGCAGACACTGGCCGTGGAGATGGCCTGTCCTGCAGCTCCTGGATGCTTCCTGCCCTCTGACCCCTCCGCTCAGCCAGAATTGTCATTCCAATCCTCCCAATGAGTCTCCTTTCTATTGGCAAAGCCATAATTGCCAGTTTAGTCCCCTGCATCATTCAAACCAGGGAAACTGAGAAGCCAGACCTTGCCATTTTTGCTGACCTCAAGATCTAGTTCTCTTCCTTCTTGTCCTGAAGTCTTTGTAAAGGGGAATGAAGGGGTGTTGGGCTCTTGCTCCTAACACACCCTCCCTGGGGGGGGTGTGGGGGTCTCATTTGTCTGATGGTATCCCATGTCTCTGTATCAATCAAGACACCTGCCTAATGCAGCAGCTAGGCGTAGCTCTGGGTATGTACTTGGCAACTGGAGGTGAAAGGCCTGAGCAAACCAAAATGAGCACACTGGAGGGAGGTGAGCTGCAGAGGAGGCGGGTGACTGACGTGCCGCTGTTTTTTTAGGAACTGTTGGCTGCCTTCACATTTCCTGATGGAAGTGGGACAGGTCAACGGATGACCCATGGTCATAGATAACTTTTGCCCACGCATTATTCACTTTTGGGAGCACTGGCTTGAAATTGAGGGGTGTGTGCGTGCGCGTATGTGTGTGCCTGGAACCAACGTGCCTTCCGCAAGCCTAAGAAGTCTGGGTTTCTTCTTCCAATGGATGATTACAACACAGAGGATGTGGCAGGGTTGTTTTTCCTGTTTGATGTCATGCCACTACCCTTTAAAAGTTCCAGGGCAAAAAGGAGGGAATCCAGCCCAGGATCCCCACTCCAGTTCCCGGTGTCTTCCTAGGAAGCCAGGAAGGCCAGCAAGATCCCGGCCTGGCTGGGGGTGTCAGATTTCAAACTGAGCCTGAGCCACTCAGAGAGCCTTGCGATGCTGGGGACCATCCTCAGACTCCTGGTGGGTGCTCTGTGTAGTGCCTGCAGCCTGGGCACTGTGAGAGCCTATCCTGACACTTCCCCACTGCTTGGTTCTAACTGGGGCAGCCTGACCCACCTGTACACAGCTACAGCCAGGAACAGCTATCACCTACAGATCCACAAGGATGGCCATGTAGATGGCACACCCCATCAGACCATCTACAGTGAGTACTGGCTCCAGGTTGGGAAGAGGGGAAACACCATGTTGTTGACCTCCAGGGGAGCTGGGGAAGCCCTGCCTTGGGCTAGATGAGAGGGAGAACCTAATTTTCTAACTTCTTGTGTGCATCTCTCTCTCTCTCTCTCTCTCTCTCTCTCTCTCTCTCTCTCTCTCTCTCTCTCTCTCTCTTTATCTGTGTGTGTGTGTGTGTGTGTGTGTGTGTGTGTGTGTGTATGTACCTAAGAAGAAAATTTTTTCCTCCTGCTTAATTGGACTTACAGGTTTTTCTCAACCTGAATAATCACTGCCATAATCCATTTCCAATAAAGACAGTTTTCTTTTCTTCTGTCCAAGAATTGGAGGGAAAATGGATAGAAAGATGGACTCAAAGAGGAGAATAGCCCAGAGAGAACTACAAATGATGAAATGTAACTGGGGGAGACAGTGGAAGAGATTCCAGAATCCCAAGATTTAGAATAGGTGAAATAAGGGGCTCTTTTCAACTCAAAATTCCTAGTATTCTGGCTTTATAAAAATTCTCAAGAGCTGGGCATATAGACCCTTAATACAATACAAGGCTTGCCTGGTCTACATAGTGAGCACCAGACTAGTCAGGGTGACACAGTGAGATGCTGTCTCAAAGCAAAACCTTCTCAAGAGACACCTGTTAAAGACAGACCACCAAGATGTGTGGCCTTGGCAAGTTTGACTGAATGCATCTACCCAATAGGTGTACCAGATGCTTCACAGGCTCCTGTATGAGCTGGTGGTTCTCTGAGAAGCTGAAATGTGTTTAGTCACTAACAGACTGAACTGGGTGTGAACTCCCTGGTGCTGTGAAAACACCTGGAATACTCTTAAAGATGGAGTCTATGGAAAACTGGATCATACACCATAAGTGTATACCAATTAGATGTATTAAAATGAGAGCTCCTTCCAGCATAAGGGATAATATATAGAGAAAATAGAGTGATAGCAGCTTCTATTTTAGCAGTCATGTAAAAAGTATTCTAAGTAAGACTGGAGAGCTGGCTCAGCAGCTAAGAGCACTTGCTGCTCTTGCAGGGGACCCAGGTTCAGCCCAGCACCAAGTAGTGGCTTATGGCAGGCAATGCATAACTCCAGATCCAGGAGCTCCAGTGCCCTCTTCTGACCTCCTGCGGCACTACACAAATGTGGTGCACAGACATCCATGCATCCATACACATGTAAGCCAAAAATCTAAAAAGTTACTGGAAGAGTGTATGGAAGACGCAACTGGGCTCAGTGACAGGGAAAGCACTCAGAGTAGAAATGATTTGCATCTCACTAAAGAACTATGATCTCCTCTTTGCTGTTGTAATAGGTAAACCTGGTTTCTGGATGTAGCCTCCAGGCATGTCTGACATTCTCTCTGCTATGGCCACTAGACCTTAAGCCTAGCAGCCAGATACAGGCACAAGCAAAGCCAGAGCTTACACCTGTCCAAGGGCTACACTGACAGGAGATGTGAGGAGGAGGAGAAAGAATCTCCAAATGTCAAGCATCCTCCAGAACTCAAGGGGATAAAATAGGACCCTGGAGTTCCCTCTTGAAAGCCGGAGCCAGATAGGGAGAATCTGAAATAAACTGGGTACATTTCATGGGTCCCCAGCACTGCTTGTGCTCTGTGGAACAGGACCCACAAGGTGCCTGACGACAACAGTCCCCTGCCACTGGAAAAGTGACACAGTTCTTCATAGACCTCTCGTCTTCCAGTGCATTATCAAACTTTTAGGAAACGCCATTGTATTCTTCCCCTGGAAAACTGCCGTGACTTCTGCTGCAAGACCACATGTGATTTCAAATGCTGGGCAGTGGATAAGGGTAAACTATTTTCATTTTGGAGATTGGAAATTTGCTTATAATTACAGAATGCATATAGCATGTCCCTAGAATCATAGAATCCCTTTGCTGAAAGGCGACCTCTCTGCAGAGGCCAAGAAGTCAGTATGAATTCCTCACCCCCGCCCTGACAGACATGGGGCTGGAGGATGCCTGAAGCAATGAACATGACTGAGGAGCAGTGAAATGGACTGACCTGACTTGAGTTTCTGTGTGTGATTCTATCATGTGCAAACTTTGTCTTGGGGAAGGGGAATAACACTGGACCTGAAATACTACTCAGTTATCAAGTGTATTTCCATAAGAACACACTTTTTATCTTCTTCTTATCTTTACCTATTATTAATATACTCTTCCCCCTAATTAATTATATATTTACAGCAGAACTTGGTTTTATTATGCTCTCACTTGTTTATTTTATTTCAAAAGTATGATGGTCTTGTTTGCATGTCTGTCTATGTACAACGTGTATTCAGTGCCACTGGAGGTCAGGATATCTCATTACATCTTCAACAAGATAAAGTGGGGCAAAAGTTTCTGTTTTCCCATTTTAAAGTTTTGCTTCAGTAAGTTTCTGGTTAAGAGCTGAGTGTACAACTCCTTTCCGGGGCGTTGGTCTTAACAAGATGGAATGATCTGCCCAAATGATGCCCATGCTCCCTGGACTCAGAAGGCTCTTGGGGTCTCTCCAGGGTTGGCAAGCTTTTTCTAATAGGAACAAGGCCGGCTCCCCACTCCCCACTGTGCTCACTTTTTTGGAAATGGCAAAGAAAGAAGAGTTGCTTATTGCCCTTGCTCAATAGCCCATTCTTTTCTTTTGGTGTGTGGCTTAGCTTGTACTTGACCAAGTGAACCTTCCTGCTGGCTTCTGTTGGTTGCATTCAAAATCCCATTCAGAAGTGCTCCCCCTGGTAGCCACTCACTTTCTATTAGGACTGGCCCTAGAGTGAGGGGTGTATACTGTGCTCACTGCCTGCAGTGCCTCCAACCATCAGGCAGGCTGGCAAGGTGTCAGCGTGAGGAAGTGGTCAGCTGTCAAGTCATTTTTGCAACCATTATCCCATTTGATTGGTGGTAACCCTACAAAGCAGGGTGCTACACTCACTTCACAGACTGCTAAGGAGACCTGGGCTGCAGCAATGAAACTCTCATGGCTACAGAGTTCTTAAGGAGCCAAATTGTGACCAGCATCCCTGTGGGCACAGAACCTCCAAGTCTTTGTGTCATTTTAGCACTTTTTCTGTTAGAGGCTATAGCTGCAGGGCAGGAAGACTCACTGACCTGAGTTTGAATTCTGTTTGTCTCTTAAAGATGCTACAATAACCACTAAAGAGATGCTGTTTATTTTTTAACAATGTATCAGTTGTTTTGAGAATTCAAAGTATATAGAGTGCTTAAGAGAGCACCCACTCAAAAAGAAAGGAAGAAAGGAGGAAGGAAGAGGAAAAAAAAAAACACTAAATGTAGTCCTTCACCTCACTTGCCTTGATTGGACCAAGAAGCCCTCAGGACAGAAATTCTTCTGTATTTGTTATGTCTGTCTGAGTTTACATAAAATCAGCTATATATATGAGACACATAGTCAGACATCACTTTGGAAGAACATGTGTGGTACCTCTCCCCACTTGGCAGGTTTTAACCTGCAGCCAAACTTTGAAACATTTGAAACAAACTGGATTTTCCTGGTTGGTCCTTTTCTGCTGTCACCTTCCCAGGCTCAAGTCTGCCTTCATTCCCTCTGTCCACATCACGCCAGCTTCGGTGTGTACCAGACTCTGTAGTTAGGGGATATCTGACCTTTGCGGGCTCCATCCCCTTGAAGGTCTTTGTTCTGAGCCTAACAGGGTAGGGAAGAGGCCTTAGGCTTCATGTCATCCCATGATGTTCCACCGCACGCTAGGCACAGACTGTTTTCTGAAGAGGGATTAGAAGTCCTGTCTGAGCAGCCTCCTTGAAGACATGAAGTGAAGTTCCACAGCAGGCAGTTGAAAGTGTCCTCCCTCAAAGATCTAAGTGAATGAGTCTTAAAAGAAAACGTCAAGTCTTGCTGAATCGCCATTCATTTTACAACACAATGTAGCTTGATCTTACCTCTATTACAGAATGCCTGTTTAAAGGTACTGATCATTGTTTAAGGTGAAGATGATACACATGCAAGTTTTTAAGTGAGGCTATTGAACGTTGTGCAAGATCACCATTCACAAAGAGTATCTCCCAGTGAGAAAAGCACAAAGGATTGGGTCCAAGAAGTAAATTCCATCCATCCCTGGGGCCTGCTAAATGTCCAGAGATGGGGGCTCTGTTTCTCTGGGAGAGGCTTTAGGTATGCAAATATGGTAGCAGCAGGTGAGGGACAGCTATAACAGCTGGGACACTATGCTGAAGAGTAGTCACTTCTGATTAGGGAGGTGAGAAGGCACAGCTGACCTTGGAGATTAAGCAACTTCAACAGGCAGGGACAAGAGGTCACTCTGAACACACAGGTAGGGACATGCAGTGAGGGGAACCCGAGCTCTACACATTGAATGACACTTCCACATAGAGCTTAAAATCACAGAAGCATCATCTCAGAAAGACACAACCTCAGCTCCAACTAGTGAATGACACTTCCACATAGAGTTTAAAATCACAGAAGCATCCGTCTCAGAAAGACACAACTTCAGCCCCAAACACTTAAGGATACTAGCTAGGCAAAGAAGGAAGAAGCATCCAGATGGAGGGGAATTTGTGTGCTGAACAGATGGTGGGATGACCAGGGAGTCAAGGTCCCCGTGCATGAAGGAGAATAAAGAGTAAGCGTTGTTGTTGGAGTTGGAAGTCACGGGAAATGAGAGGAACAGCTACATGGAGAGTTGTGTGATGCCATTCCCGGGAAGAGAGGTGTCATGGGGGTGTATTTTCAGAAAGTGTTCCAAGGGAGGGGTAGCTGCATATTTTGACCTGAGAGTCTTTCTTGCAGGTGCCCTGATGATTAGATCGGAGGATGCCGGCTTCGTGATCATAACAGGAGCTGTAACTAGAAGATTCCTTTGTATGGATCTCAGAGGCAACATTTTTGGATCGGTGAGTTTCTGTGTTGTGTTGGTCACCACTTTATAATGACTTTACCTCTTTTTCTAAGATGCCATTTTAAAACTGCTATGTCTGTGTGGGAAAGCAGCATGCATGCACTCACTCTTAACCACTGAGCCATCTCTTCAGTCCTTACTGTATGTCTTGTCAGGGTTTTGATATATCTAACTTTAGAGATACCACTTAGAGTGTCCCTTGGTCACTCCTTGCTGTCACCAAGTACTTCATTCTGTCCCAGTAGGAAATGCTCAGGTTTACACAGCTGGGGTTTGGAACACGGCTCTGGGTCTCTAGTCTGCACTGCCCCCTGGCACCCATTCTTGCATGGAACACAGTCCCTGTTATGTTGCAGGTCCTAAAGCCATGTCAGCTTGTGCTTTAATGTATACATTAGACATGATGAACAGCCCTGGCGTCTTCACAGTTCTGTTACCAACTGTGGCCTTGGGTGAGCTCTCTCAATTCTCTTCCCTTAGAAGTGAAGTAGACCTTGTAACCTGAAGCTCTCTCCCTCCAAATAATGACCCAGTCAATTACCTATGCCCTCAGGGTGATGGCTGGTCTTTCAGATTGTAAATCAAGGTTTTTCAAAACTAATGGCTACAGCATAATCTCAATAATTCTGAGGCAGAAATGAATGACTAATTGATTCGGGAGTCCCTTATCAATGTCCACTACACAGTTCCTGAGGTAGAAGTTCTCAATTCAGTTACTCTTGTGCATGTCCCAGAGCCTACAATACCATCTGTCCAGAGTAGATAGATACTTATGCGCATAGGAAGCCCTCACCTCTAGAATTCTTTGTAGTTTGGAAATATGTAAAGGTCCAGGTAGGCACTCAATAAAACTAAATACAAATGGGAGAATGAAGTTCTGATAACAAGTTCATGACCCTGACTTTCAAGCTACATTATGTCTTGGCGTCAGTACCCTCACTTATATGTGACCCTTCAAAGTCCATTCAAGCTCCAGCCTTTAAAGAGACAAGCCCCAACCTCCTTCCAGACAGTAGAGCTTTAAAAGGTATATACAACTCAGGCTCAGTGGCACAAGCCATCAGTCAAAGCTACTAGGCTGGCTGAGGCAGGAGGATTGAAAGTTCAACATCTCCCTGGAGTACACAGCAGAGTTCAAGGCCTGCCTGGGTAACTCAGTGAGACTCTACCTCAAAATGGGAAAACAAACAAACAAAAAATCAGAAAAAGGGCTGTAACTGTAGGTCAGCGGTAAGCCCCAGGAAGGGGGAGAGATGGGGAGGAGGGGGAGGGGCTGGAGACTATAAATGTTAGCCTAGTCCCCATTGCAGCCAGTAAAGAGAGACAGAGACATAAACAGAGAGAACGAATGAATACGAACATGAATGAGAATATGAATGTTCAGTTCTCCTCGCAGACTCTGAACAAGAGGAGTGCCGTCGGCTCTTTCTGGGCCCTGCTCCAGCAGGCTGGCCTCCAGACCAAGGTCCTCGAGGCAGTGCACTCCAGGGTCCTTATAGCTGCCACTCCCCTGAAGCTGGAGTCAAGTTCGGGCGCTTGGACATCCTTTCTTAAGAGGGAGGTGAGGGCCTGGGCTGAACAGTAGATCCTAACGGAGCGGGCGGCCCTCACCTCCTTGTGCTCCCCTTCCCTTACAGCATCACTTCAGCCCAGAGAACTGCAGGTTCCGCCAGCGGACTCTGGAGAACGGCTATGACGTCTACCTGTCGCCGCAGTATCACTACCTAGTGAGCCTGGGCCGTGCCAAGCGCCCCTATGAGCCCGGTACCAACCCGCCGCCCTTCTCGCAGTTCCTGGCGCGCAGGAACGAGGTCCCGCTGCTGCGCTTCCATACTGCACGGCCACGGCGCCACACGCGCAGCGCCGAGGACCCTCCCGAGTGGGACCCGCTGAACGTGCTCAAGCCGCGGCCCCGTGCCACGCCGGTGCCTGTATCCTGCTCGCGGGAGCTGCCGAGCGCCGAGGAAGGTGGCCCTGCGGCCAGTGACCCACTGGGCGTCCTGCGAAGAGGCCGCGGGGATGCTCGCGGAGGCACAGGAGGCGTGGACCGGTGCCGCCCCTTTCCCAGGTTCGCCTAGGCCACCAGACCCTGCGGCCTCAGCCTCCATCCTCCAATTGGCGCAGCCCACGTACAAGGTGGAAGGTTGGGTACCTGCTTCTCTCCTTTCCCTTTGGGACTCAGAGTTACCTGCAAGGTCCCAGCCAGGCACCAACAGTGGGAGGCTGGAGAGATGGCTCAGTGGTATAGAGCCTGTGCTGCTCACACAAAGGACAGTTCTCAGCACCCACAACTACCTGTGATTCTAGCTCCAGGGGAATCTGATGCGTCTAGCCTGCCTGGACACCTGCACTCATATGCACATACCCCCACACACATACACGTAATTTATAATGTTAATCTGTTTTGAAGAACCTGGGTTTTAATTTTTTTTTAACTAACAGGTAAACTAGACACTTGGCTTTAATTAGCCTGCTTCTTACCTAGCATTCTCACCGATCAATTAGCATTTAGAGACAGAGGTCCAGGGTTCACACCTTGAACACAGGAAGAGGCTGTCTCTATGGCTTTCAGTTTCTGTTCTGGGACCCACATGGGTTCTTGAATTTGAGCATCGTAATGGCTTCACTGGGCAAGTTGAAGAAAACGCTGATTCTACCCCTACCCCCCCCCAATTCTGGAAGAACTTTCAAAATAAGATCAGCAGGAGGCGGACTAGATCCAAAGGCACGGTGAACTGAAACATGTTCCACAAAGCTCAGCCTCCCTGCAGACTGAACATCCTTTGCCAGATTCGTAGAATGAGTGCCAACCCTACTCTGTTTCCAGCTCTGTGTGATAGAGCGACTTTTTCTGCCGCCCTGGCTTAGGAAGGTCCACCTTGCTAGGGTGTTTTGCAAAATGCACGAACTCTCTGGAGAGGTGTCTTAGTGAAAGCCTCCACCAGCTAGTTGAGTTTTGATGTACTCTAGGGGAAGTGTGGAAATGCGCCAGGAAAGCAAGAGCTCCGGTGCTGTGGGCTGCTCTAGGTGAGGTTTTTCTGTGGACTGAAAACAAAACAACACCCCTTTTTCCCTCTCCTAAGTGAAATGGGATCCAAGGTCTAGCTGGCAGGAAAGGTCTCTAGCACGGTTTTAGAAAGAAACGGAGGCTACTCTTAGGGCATTAAATGAAGACACTCTTTAGGTGTCCCCGGAACTCCAGGCTGTCCTGGGGCGAGCATAGCCTCACAGTGAACAGCCAGAAGGTGTTAGGCAGGCTTTGACAGTCTACTCTCCTCTGAGCCTTAGCTGGTGATAGGCCTCAACCAAGGGCATCCCTTTCTACCTCTCTTTAAATGAGCACCTGAAGATAGAAGAGTGGCGGAGCAGATTCAGCAACTTCCTGTTTCCACTGTCTTCATGCACACTTAGAAATAGATCTACTGTTTTTGTTTATCAGAGAAACGTCAGGCAATGTGGAGGACCAGCTCCCACTCTGAAATAGTAAAACCATGCAGAACAGTAGATGCCATACACCCCAAATCTTTTCCTCACTGGCTTTCACTCCCCGCTGGGGGTATCATTCTGTACGGCAGCCACTACAGGCCCCCCCACTGAGACAGCCATGTGGAAGAACCCAGAAAGAACTTGAGTAGCAAACTGGTTGTAAACGCATCAGCTCAACACCACCATGGGGCTTTCTTTTTGGCAGAGCTAAGGTAACCTTGTAATTTCTTAGGTCCCCTTGCATGTGGCAATATTTATTTATTTATTTGGAAGATTTTGCCTACCACTCTATATTTATAGTTATTTATAAAATGTAACACCACTTCTTTCATTCTGTTTTAAATAAAAATAAAATTTCTCTCAGCTTCTGTTTCTTATCCCCTTTGTATGACTGCAAAATGTGTTGAGATGTAATAAAAGGGAGGCATTTGGGAAAATCTGGAGAAAACAGAATGGGGTGAGGAAAAGGAATTTCTGGAGTCAAAATTTCTTCCATCTATAAGCATATTCAATAATTTTAATTGATCAAAATTATGAAATTATATCAATATTGACTTCTGATTATCCAAGTGATTCCTTGAAAGAATTTTTAACTTGAATAAGGCACACTGGCATAACCACACTGAAATCTCAGTTAACCAGATATTATATTAGTTTTCCATCACTATTAACAAATATGTTGCATGACCAGTCTATGAAGATAAAAAGTCTGCACCGCACTTTGGAAGTGCGGGTCCACAACCCAGAAGACCACTGTTTCATGTCTGCAGTAGATAAGTCAACACATACAGTGGGAGTCTGAGCAAAAACACGTACTTTCAGGCTGGTAAAGAAAAGAGGCTGAGGTCCGACTAATCTGCACATGCCCAGTGGCTTGAGGACATCTCCTTAAGCCTTACATGGCGCTACTACCTCCTACTAGCACAACTGGCTAGGGACCAGGCCTTCAACACATGGGGGAGCGGGTATGTTTAAACGAGTGTTCTAAACACAGTGTTACTGTCCTGTGAGATGTGACAACAGGACTGCTGGGTAACACTTTCCCTGGGGAGACATGAACAAATGTCTACTCAGTCCAGTTAGGGAAAGGGAATTGACAACAATTCAAAGTACAATTAGCAATACTATCAAAGTCCAGCTTGGTGAGCCAATGAGTTTATTTGGTTACTTCCAGGAGTAGTAATGACTTAAACAGGTATGCCTCCAAAGCTGGCATGGGTGAGGAACCTGGAGCTCACTGCATAGCCTGCAGGGAGCTCATCAGGCTGGAGAATGAATGCCTCTTCCTGGGAGCTGTTGGTCTGTTTTATGAGCCTGGAGACTTATTTGTTAGAATGACCCGCTCGGAGATGCCTCATGGCATCTCATAAACAGTACTTTAAGTGCCATTCTGACACTGATAGGATACTTTTATGCAATACTTACATGAAACAGAAAGGGTTGCAGGAGTTTGCTATGGCTTTTACGTGTCACATTCCTAAAACTGAGTAAGATAGCAGCTAGCACTGTCATAAAGGATAGATCAAGAGCACTGAACACCGAGTGGGATGGCGAGTAGCTTGGGTTTAGGGGACCATTTGGGTCAGACAGGATCTGCAACACAAGACCCTGCACAGGGATGATACGGCGAGACTTCCTGGGCGGTGTGGAGGTACACGACTGTAATCCCAGCATCGAGGAGGGCGAGACAGAAGCATCGTGAGTTTGAGGCCAATCTGACATACACAGTGAGCCTGTCTCACCACCCCCCAAGACTTCCCTATGACACTGCGCCTATACAACACTGCACAGACCTAAACACCCACGATACACAAAAGGTGCTTTATTTATTCAATAGAAGTTGTTACAATTAAATAGATACATACATTCCCAAATAAATAATGTCCCAAACAACATGGGCAAAAATGAGGAATATAGACAGTTGGGTATTTATGTACATTTGAAAGGTGTCAGAACACTTGCCTCATACACACCGGGAGAAGTTGAAAGAACCAGAGAACTTAATGTGGTGCCCTGTGCTTGGGCTGCACTGGAGAGCTGGCTAAGGGGTCTCTACCCACTAACCCTGGGTTCTTTTTTAAAGGGCAGGGTCCCCCCCTTTGTGTTCTTTTTTCCCCAGTGCTGAGGATGGAAACTGGGGCCACTGCTTGGGCTGCACTGGATAGCTGGCTAAGGGGTCTCTACCCACTAACCCTGGGTTCTTTTTTAAAGGGCAGGGTCCCCCCCCTTTGTGTTCTTTTTTCCCCAGTGCTGAGGATGGAAACTGGGGCCACTGAGTAACATATGACAACTCCAAACCCCTTGGGTTTTTATAACACTCTCCTCTAGCACTCAACTTCATGCCGGGTCCAACACTCTAGAAAACGCAGGCTGTTCTGAGCACAACCAAGGATGGCATGAACACACTTGATTTGCAACACAGATATCAAAGGACATGTCCTTCACTGGACACTCCACACTCCTCCTGTGGCCTGAGATCCACGCAAGCATCAGGATGGTCACTCAAAACTGGCATGTGGAAGCCTTCATTCAGATAGACTTCCTTTAAACACACTACGGTAACTGGGAGGAGGATGTGGAGGTGAACTTTCTACTTTTCCATAAACCTGAAACTGCTAAAAAGAATCTTTGTAACAAATCTATATAGCCGAACAGAGGCACTGGAGAGTTAGGATGCAGCCCAACAAGAATCAAGATGTGTGCTAATTCATCTCTGGTCGCCTGGGGGGTGGATGGGAGCTAAGGAGGATGACCGGTACCCTGGTTTTTGGTTAATACTGAGAAGGCAAAGGTTCTCTGTTTCTTCTCACCTGATTTCAGATCAAAATGACACCTTGATACTGCTTTAAAGTAGTTTATCCATTATGCATTTTTCTGTCAATATTTACAGTTTTTTATTCCTTTTAGCATGTTCAAGATGTAACACCTTATTTTCTAGTTTTAGGGAGGGGAAAATAGAGCCCGGTAAGAGGAGAAATCACGGTTGGGGGACGCATCAGAGACTCGGGTCAGACATGTGTGAAACCGCAGATGAACCCAGCCCAGCACACTTGCTGTCAGAACTGTTATCTGGACGACATGCCTGACACTGGAGTCTTGAGGCCAAAACCAAACAAACAAAAAACAACCTCTCCAGGAGTGGGAACAGAATCAAAACCCATAGTCTTAGGCTTGACTGAAGTCTCTTGTGGCGATTCTTGCCCCAAATGCTAACATGATTTTTGAGCTGGAGCTTTGGCACCAATAGGGCAACTTTCCTGTGGCCTCCTTAATTACTCCTTGAGTTTCTTGGGACAGGGCCACACTCTGGACTCATGGTGTTAGCAACGTTTCTGTTCATGGCACACATGCATTTGGAGTCCCAAATAAACCCTTAGTTTTTAGTTACCAGCATGCAAGTGTTGGCACCAGCTCCGCACAGTGTCCAGACAGGTTGTGGCAAGCCTTGACCTGTGCATTCCTTTGCAGGTGAACTTTACTGTTTTCCTAGGCGTCTTACGCTTGGTGCCTACTGTTCAATAAGCTCTCAATCCCACTAGCTGCTTCCAGCGCCTCCACAGCATGGTTCAGGGTTACAATTACATTTCCCCCACCCAATTCCTCTCCCTGATACTGTGACTTGTGCCTCGAAGTCTCAGCAGTTAATCATTTTCTCAGATAAGGATTCCTAAGGGGCAATCAAAATCCCTTTCCTATAGCGCCATCTGGGGGAAAGAAAGCCACTTATCTGTTCCTTCTGGAGGCCATTTTTCAGCATCTTTTCTGGATGCCAGTCTGGGTTTACTTTAGATCATCCCTCAGCTAGAAAGGCTGCACATGCAGGGCGGATACGAAGCAAGGAATAATTTATTGATTTTCCCCCTGGTTTGCCTTCTGCCCAGGGGCTTCCTGGGCCTGTGCCAGTGCCCGCAGAGGCCAGAAGGGGGCATTGGTTCCCTGGTGCTGCAGTTAAGGCAGTTGTGAGCCACCCAAGATGGGTGATGAGACCTGAACTGGGGTCTTCTGGGAGAGCAGGAAGTACCTACTCTTAACCCTGACTTAGCCCTCCAGTTCTTCATATTTATCTTGAGGCCTTTAGAATTAAAACACAAAACAACCCAATGCTGTATCCTGCGAAAGATGCTTTAGTGTTTTTCCATTTTCCATTACACACATTGATGACAGTAAGAAGTGCCAGTTTAAAGGACTTTGGACTCTGACATAACCATTGCAAATACGCAGTGAATTACACAAACCATTCTTTCTGGCAAGCACTTGATAAAATAGCGAAAAGACACAATTATCTTCAGCAGCCAATACCATCATCTAGACACCAAAAAGGTCCATGAAATGAAGACTGTGGAAGGCGGCTACTAATTCCCTAATGTGCAAATGCTGGATGTCCTGACACGTTAATAGTTAAGAAACATAATGGAACAGAGTGGCAACATTACTGTAGAAAATGGCAAGTCTACTGGGAAAACCAGGTTGATTTGGGGTGGTTCTCCACTGTCATCTGATACAGCCGGGACCCCAGTGGGCTCTGCCACATGAATTCTTAACTGCTTCTAAAATGGCAGGAGCCGAGGACGCGAGTGCAAGAGGCCAAGGCACTCACTCCCTTCAGAGGTTTCTTAATGAAGGACTTTAAACTTAGTGCTTTTCGCTCGCTCCGTTTAGATGTTCCTGGAAGTTCATACAAACACACTGAATTGCCGGTTCCAGCCCTTCCTCACAGTCTACGATAAAGACACTAATCCCAGTATTGGGAGTGACTGACGCGAGTTCTAATTTGCCTAGTGTTGCTGGCAACGAGCATTTGAGGTCACTCAGAAGGTAACCAAAGAGGCTTCTCATGTAAGCTCCGTGGCTCACAACTAAGATGCTGGCTGCTAACCCAGGGGTGCCACCATCAGGATGCAAGTGCAAACGGTTTCCTACAGGGAATACCTCTGCCAAACAGCTCTCCAGACAGTTGCCTGGAGCCCCAGGGAAGACGCTTTCTCTCTGGCCCGTCTCACCCACGATTAGTTGACAAATACAATTAAAGAAACCCTTTGCGCGTGCTTTCACCTGTAAGGAAAGAAGTAAAACAGGAAATAAGTGGTTAATGGTGTCGTTAAAATATAAGCCTGAAACACAACTGATCACTAAAACCCTAAGTTCCTATGGGACCGCAAAAGCATCACTAGTTGCTGAAAACACTAAGGGGAAGGAGGGGGCTGGGGAAATGCCTCAGTGAGCAAAGCGCTTACCACACAGCATGGAGACCAGTGTCAGGGTCCTCTGGCCATCAACCAGATATACTCATAAGAGAAGACATGACCCTCATAGAAAGTGCGTGACTATGGACCACCCTGCTACCTTTGCCAAATTCCAGAAACAGACCTGCGGCTCATCTAGAGTGTAGGCTTAAACAATAGAAGGAGGAATGTGAAAGACAAAGTTAGAATCTGCAGTTAGGTTACCAGGACACAGGATGCCCTACCCATCCCACTGACCTTCGCTCCGCCAGGCTCATCCCAGCTGCAGCACACCCCCATTCCTTCCCCTCCTCCCTTCCCCTATATAAATCCCTTTGGGATGAATAAAGTTGTCACCTTGATCAGACTCTTGTCTTGGTGTCTGTCCTTGTGTCCCATGCCCCCCATCTTTCTCCTAGGTGTCTACCAAACCCACATCGAGTGTCCTGCGGGTCGGGACAGATCAGAACTCTGGGGGTCCAGAGGCAGAGCTTGATTCACCGGCTGCCCCCACTGCCTGTGCCAACACTGCCTATACCTCGTGGTAAGTTTTTCTTTTCTGTTTTTGTTTTTTTGTTTTTTCGAGACAGGGTTTCTCTGTATTGTTTTGGAGGCTGTCCTGGAACTGGCTCGGTAGACCAGGCTGGCCTCGAACTCACAGAGATCCACCTGCCTCTGCCTCCCGAGTGCTGGGATTTAAGGCGTGCGCCACCACCGCCCGGCAGTAAGTTTCTCTTGTATCATCTAAGAGAGTGCTTCTATCACCAGCGACGGCTGCTGGCTCACAGTGGCTGAGACACACAGGGTGACTCAGAAAAGCGGAGAAAGAAAAGCAGCTGTCTTTAAAGCTTACAAACTGCCTGGCTGTCAGTCACAAGCAGCGAGGGTACCAAAACAGTCAGGATTCAGTGACTAGGTCACTGGCAAGTTCATTGATGTTCTAGCAATGTGACAACCTGGATGTGGGCTACATACCTGCTCGAGTGTCTCTCCTCCGGGTGGAGTGAACATGGGACACTCTTCCCCAGCGGCTCTGGCCATGGCCCGCATCTCGCTTAGAGGCTTGCCTTCTACGACCCCATACTTCTGCAATAGTCCAGTTAGATAAAGGTGCTGCTTAGATATAACAGTAAAGACCTGTGGAAATCTGAAACTGTCCAGGAAGGAGCTCAGCTCCCTGCACTTACTTACTATCCGATCTCCTCTTAACTGCTAGTAGGAATGTACTCAGCAGAGACCCCAGAACACACTAGAATGCTCAAACTGGGTGTTCTTTCCAAGCTGCTGTGGGGAGGAACTTCCCGAGGCTATCCCAAGCAGATGGTGGGGCTTTACCAGATAGACAAGGGATTTGCCCAGTTCTGAGGATGGAGAGAAATGCGTGCAGGCAACACGAGGTCCTGCCTACCTGGCAGCATCACCCCAGACTCTGTGCCAGTTCTCGGGCACGGAGAGGGAAGTTCCTTCTGCCAGAACTCGGGATGTGTCCCAAACCACAGAGAGTGTACTCAAGCTGAGAGGGGTGTGTCTTTTAGAATGCTCTCGTCATTCCAGCCAGGATCAGAAGAAACCAGAGCTGAGAGTGATGTTACTGGACTTGGAGATGGTATTGTAGGCCATAGAAAAAATGTTAACGCTCCATGAGACCTGGGTTCGGATCTCTGAGTGGAGATCTCCATGTGCCTTGCCCTAAATTTAAAGCTCAGTTTTAAGAAGACTCATTTCTGGTATACAAACGGGGTGAAAGAAAACCCAAGCACACTCACAGTGAGGGTAGGAGAGGGAGGAAGAACACCTTGCCCTTTCTTTAAACTTCCCCACAGTATACAAGTTTTTACCAGGGTGATCTTGAAACTTATGCCACATAGCTAAATAAGGTGTTCTATGGGTTATGTAGCAGGACATGACAGCTCTCCCTCCCCACCACCCTCTCCTCAGTCCTCCCGCTCTGTGCCGAGAATTAAACCCAGGGTCTCAAACATTCTAGCCAAGCACTCTACCACTGTGCTATTAGCTATTATCTCTAGATCTTGATTTTTTTTTTTGAGATAGGGTCTGTGTAGCTCAGGCTGGCCTCAAGTTAATAATCCTCCTGCCTCCACTTCCCAAGCACTGGGATTACAGATATTATGTGTCAACATGCCTAGCTACACAGATAGGCAAAAATTACAAAAATTAGTTGATCCTAAATTCCCAAGAAAGAGAGCTAGAAAGATTAGTCAGTGGTAAAGAGCACTGGCTCTCTTCCAGAGGACCCAGATTCAATTCCTGGCACCCACATGGCAGCTCACAACTGTCTGTAACTCCAGTCCCAGGAGATCCAACACCCTTTCATGGCCTCCTTGAAAACCAGGCATGCCTGTGGTATACAGACATATATGCAGCTAAAACATACATCCATACATATATATTAAAAATAAGTTCCCGAGAGGACAGTCTGTGCTTTAGCACGGTGAACTCTGTAATAGAAGATCAAAATAGTTACCCTTTCTCGGAGTCTGGGGTCATACTTCACCGCCATGTCTTTGCAAAATTTGCTTTTCTCCAAAATGCCGCATATGGTCTGAAATGCAAAAGACAAATATTTCTTTCCTTTTTCTATTTTTTTAAAATTAAGAATGGGTCATCACCATGAAGTTTCAAAAGCATGTCATTTAGTTTTGTATACATGACTACAGTTTCCTTGTGCAAAAATTGTTTCTCTGGTTGGGGTTGCAGCTCAATATCCAAGCACCTTCCCAGTACACATGACACCTGGGGTTTGTGACTTTTCTTCATGTCTTTCTCTGGTATTTACTGTTATGTACATGGTCCACAGGGCCAACTCAGACTACCACCTGCTTTTATAAAGATTTACGAGAACCCGGCCACATGACCACATACTGATATACTCTGTGCAAAACTGCCCTCATACCATATCAGTATGAACAGACATAAAGAGCTGTCACAGACACTGCAGAGACTGTCAAACCCAGAGTACTTATTATCAAGCTCGTAATAGAAACGATGTGGTAGCCTTCACTATGGTTGTGCGTGCGTGCGTGCGTGCGTGCTAGCGTGCGTGCGTGCGTGCGTGCTAGGCATGCATCTATGCACATCTGTGCTGCATGCTCCTGCAGAACCTGAGATGACCTGGACTGTGCTCCTGGATCACTCTTCACTTTACTTACTTAACAGACAGGTCTCTTGCTAACCCCAGAGTTCACCAGTTCTGATTTATCTAGTTAGCCAGCTTGCTCTGGGGATTTCTCTGTCTCCCAGTTGCTGGGACTGCTAGTGGCTGCTGCACATACCCATCTTCTATTTGGCAAGCACTTTATTCATAGAACTGTCTTCTCACTCCCTACTCGGGTTCTAGCTCTCCACGAAGCTGTCTCTAAATGGCTATTGATTCCTTTAAGCCTCAGTCTCAATCCATTGTCAGTTTTCCAGTTTGCACCCTATTTCTGTTTACTTGTTTTGGGTTCTCTGCTTAGTCTCTCGGTTCATCTTTCACCGAGGCATAAGGCAGCATTTGAAGCTCTATGTCTGATGATGGATGTGGTAACCAGGCTTGATCCTGGTCACCTGGGAGGCCGAGGCAGGGGAATAACCCAACGTATGCTAACTCCTGAGGCTGACTGTGCTGTGCTATTTTGCTTGGTTTTTGTTCGTTTTCTTCTTTATGTCTAACTGTTTTTGATGGACATGAGACACCAGAGATCACTTAAGACCTTCCCTCTCCCCTCCATATGCCTTGTGGTTTTGGCTTTAGTATTTCACTCATTTTGTGTGAGTATGTGTGGGCATGTGAGCACTATGGCATGCATGTGGAGGTCAGAGACAACTTGAAAGAGCCAATTTGTTCTTTCCATCATGTGGGCCCCAGGGATTGAGCCTGAGTCATCAGGCCTGGCTGCAAGCACCTTTACCCACTGAGCTATCTCACTAAGCTTTGGAAGCGGGATTTTCAAACTCACTGTTGTTAAGCTTCTGACCTATCAGCCCAGACACTTAGCCTGAACTCACCTGCTTAGTCCTGGTGAGATCACTGGAGAAAGCGTGCGTAAACTTCACATTGTTCAGAAAGCGACCAGCGGCAGCTGCTTGCTTAAAGCCAGTCTCGGAAAGGGGCTCGTCTACTCCTTGCCCTGTGGTGGGACAGAACCATTCAAAGATGTATCTAGGTGAAAGCTGATTCTAAACATTATGACATAGAGCAGTAACGATGAAAACTCGATTCAGTTGTAGATGAGACCAAGGCTGCTGGTCTCATGGAAATTCCATCGTTCTGAGCCATCTGACTCCTCCCTCTTTTCCGCCTGTCCATTTATCCACTGCATGTGCTGCACCCACAGGCTGTGCTCCTGCAGGCTGCACCAGGATGCAGTGTCACGCTCTACTGTCTAAAGGGTCAGCACAGATATCACTTCTCTTCCTCACCTTCTCTTTCTATTTCATGGGGGGGTAGGGGTGTAAAACTAGACTTGATGCCTCACACCTACAACCTCAGCACTTGTGAGGCTGAGGCAGGAGGATTGCAATGAATAAGAGGTCTTCCTGGACTACTTAATAAGCTGCAGGACAGCATGGACTACAGAGTAGCATTGTCTCAAAAAAAAAAAAAAAAAAACAAGTTAAACTACATTAAAATCCTCTGAAGCCAGGGGAAAGCAGAGCATACGGTAAATGAGCATCCTACAAGGAAGGAACTAAACTGCAGTGTTGTTCACTGCTGGCCTCCAGGAGGTGAAGCAAGCCTGACAGCCTCTGAGCTAAACCTGTGAGGAGAGAAGATAGAGGCATTACGTTATCAGCACATGCTGGTGGGCAGGGGAAGGGGGCTGCTATGTGGAACAGAGGGCTGGAAAACCAAACAGACCCTGGGAGGAGGCTAATGGAGTCTCACATCAGGAGAAAAATTAAACACAAATCCCCTTAAATCACTCTCAATATGGGGTAATAAGTTCTCATTCATTTACAGCAAACAAAAGATTCAACATGCACTCCATGTGCGCATATGTGTGCCATGTGCTTGTACACACACACACACACACACACACACACACAAGTGCACGCACACACGCACACTTGCACCTCATGGATGAGAGCCAGGAGGAGCAACATCCACGGGATTTAGAATCCCTAAGACTTTAGTATTAAATCAGCAGTAGAGACTAGAAGTAAGACAGATTCAGAATAATCTGCAAAAATAATGTGGCAGCCTTCTAAAGAATCTTTTTCTCTCTCTCTCTAATGAAAGAACTGATAAGGAAAATCCCTCCCTGGGCGGCAATCTGGCAGGAGTGGGTGTGAGGATCTCAAACACAGAGCTGAAGACATTATTCCAAGGGCAGCACAGGCACTGGGAGGAACTGGACCATTTCATAGATGTGTTGTATATACAAAGGAAAAGAACGCTCAACGTGTGTCTCCCAGTTTAAGCTACTGTAACAAAGCACCTCGGGAAAAGGCGGCTTATAAACCGAAGATATCTATCTCTCACTGCTGGGTTCTTTCTGGCGAGGTCCTCTGCCAGGGTACACAGTAGGGAAAGTCCAAATTGCAGAAAGAACAAGAGAACTCTCTGGGGTTGTTTCCCTGAAGAGGGGTGACACCTCTCATTTGTGAGGATGTCCCTTGTGACCTAATCACCTCCCAAAGACACTGGGGGAGAATTCCAACACAGGGATTTGGAGGGGCACAAGCATTAGTCTACAGCATACACCTGACTGGAATTCCAGAGGATCATTAGAAAAAGCATTAGTCTACAGCATACACCTGACTGGAGTTCCAGAGGATCATTAGAAAAAGTGGGGGGGGTGAAGAGACAGTGACAGATTGCTTTCTGAAACTGAGGGGAGGCGCGAATCTAGAGATAAGGAAAACACGATGTGCATGAAGTAGGATACATTAAAAAAGGGATACTCCCTGGCTGGAGAGATTACCCAGCGGTTAGGAGCACTGGCTGCTGACCAAGAGCTGCCTGCTTTACAGGCCGGCTTCTGGCCTTCGGGGGCATTGAATGTGGTATACATGCATGCATGCAGGCAAATCACATGCATAAGCGTATAACTAAAAACAAATCTTTGAAAAATCCTCCTAGACGCACGGAGGGAAAATGAGGGGCGCTAGAATCAACGTGAAGATTTACAGAGCAGCTGGAGGGACAGCTTGCCCAGGTGAGATGATGTGTTGGCTACTCACCTCAGCGCTCTGACAAAATACCTCACGAGAGCAACTTGAGGGAGGGAGGGCGGGGCTGGAGAGACAGCTGAGCAGTAAAGAGCACTTGTCGCTCTTGCGGGCAACCATTTGTAACTACAGTTCCAGAGAAACCAACGCCCTCTCTCGTGGTCTCCAAGTGCAGTGCACACGCAAGGTTCACAGACTTATATGCAGGCAAGCCACTCACACATATAAAACAATAAAGGGGCTCAAAGTTCAAGAGGATAGTCCATAAGGACAGGGGAGCCACGCGGAAGGACTGAGGAAGCACTGCTCCCCTCACTGCGGGACATGGAATGGAGCTGCCCCCTTTCGGGATGGGTCTTCCCAACCAGATAATCCCTTTCAGGCAACCTCGGGTTTCCCAATGGCCAGTTCCATGATTCTAGATCCTGCCAAAATGATAATCCATAATAACGTTCACAACTGATGGGAAACCTCCTTTACCAACTGTGCTGTTGCTCCAGGACTGGGAATGAGACCAGGGTTGCAGCCGCCAGCCTAAGAGCCTTGCTCCTGAGCTCCAAGCTCAGCTCAACAAGACAAAGCAGAAAGGGAGTAACATCCTGTGGGAAATGTCAGTTCAAGTGTGCGCTGACAGAGACCATCTTTCCATGAGCCACCTCCACACACTACAGGGTCTCCCAGAGAATGTGTCTCACCGTGAAGGGCTGACATGCAAAAGGATTGAGCACCAAAGAAACACACATGTAACTGGAAACAAACAAATACAATAACGTTTAAAAAATGTTGAAACCCTAACTCCCAAAGTGATGGTGGCAGGATGCGAGGGTGGCCCTGTGATATGGTCCCAGTGACTTTGTGAGAAGAGACGAGTTTCTACTCTCCCTCCACTGGACGACACCCTCAGAGAACCACAGGCTGCCAAGTGGGAGGCGACTGCTCCAGACAAGACCGAGGCACTGTCTTAGTTAGGTTTCCACTGCTGTGATAAACCCACTGGCCAAAAGTAACTTGGGGAGGGAAGGGTTAATTTCATCTTCTAGCCCCAGGTTATATACAGTCCATCCCCCAGGAAAGCGAGAGCAGGAACTCAAAGCAGAAACTGAAGCAGAGACCAAAAAAAAAAATGCTGCTTCCTGGCAGTGGGCACACACTGCACTCAGAAGCAAAGGCATGCTTGTCCCCAGAAAGGGATAGATAATTCAGGCGGGCACACACTGCACTTAGGTGTTTAGGCACACAACTAGTTTGTCCCCAGAAAGGGATAGATAATTGAGGTGGGCACACACTGCACTTAGGTGTTTAGGAACACAACTAGTTTGTCCCCAGAAAAGGAGCCAGACACACTGAGAAGGAAAACCAACTTCTACACAGCCCAGAAGAAGTTCCTACCCCAAAACTAAAACCAAAAGATTTTAGAATCAACCAAGATGTTCCTAAAAAGGCCAGACACACAGATTTTAGCACAGAATACAAGAGGCCAGCACATAATAAGAGGACACGGACTGCCTCAGAACATAGTGAACTTCACTGTTAGTACAGAAATCAGTTAACTGTTTAGAAAAGTGTTAATACTAATCTGTAAATGTCATGCTTCCTAATATGAAATCATTTTTATAGCCTAAATCAGTCATGAACTCTTTATGTAGTTCAGATACTGGCCTCAAACACACAGAGATCCTCTTCCTTCAGGCAGCTAGATGCTGAGATTACTGGCATGCATCACCTGGCTTTAAGCATGTTAAATCTCAACTGTAGTATTTCAAGATCGTAAGAACCCAACATGACTTTTCAATCTGCAGAGACTAGTAGAGAATCCCTGCATACCATATCCACTCCAGAGACTTTTGTTCCTCTTGATGACCTACTGTTTTGGTCAAAGTCTGTGGTTACCATGGTACCCTCATCCCCTAATCCCACTCCAATTTAACCCTATTGCAGTGGCTCCCTCCCGGCCCTCCCCTACCAAGCCTGATTAGCCCACACATCCCATTAACGATGAGACAGAGCTATGGCAACAATCTGATTAGACTAACCTTGAATGATTTTCTCCTTATTAAATCTTGTTTCGCCACTAAAATAAAGAGAAAATACCATTACCAACTTATTTTTGAAAAGAGGAAAAACAACAAATTTTATAATGACATTCATAACGAATTTTAAACTTGCAAATTGAAATATTTTCTTTCCAATCATCTATCCCAACTCATGAATTCCAAGTGAAGCCATCCCTTAAAGCAAATGAATATGGATGAGGAAACCAATTTTAATGAACTGCTGAAGGAAAACAGCTTTAAGAGGCATCCTTCTTAAACAGAAGTATATTGACTGGTCAAGACTACTTAAGACGACAGCAGGACTGCCACCTGGATGCCAGACTGTGGGTTGCTGCCCTGAAGGAGTACATGATTGGGTGTGAAAATGGGTAGAGAAAGAAATTCCAGGATGCTTGGCACCCACCCAGAATTGACAGGTTCTAGAGCTGAGGCAGTCACACCACGAGACAACTATAGGTATCATGTCTATGGGCATGCACCCGACTAAGGTGTGGCAACACTTTTAGGAATTAAGAAATCAAAACAATCCCGATCTGAAAGCAACAGAAGACCAACAGGACTGGACCCATTTTCAGGAACTATAGGGCAAACTGGGGCTGGGAGAGGGAGATGAGAGGGAGCCACGAGGGCCTACATGGCAAGAAAGACTTACAATAAAAGCCCCCAGGTGAGGCTGGCAAAGCAATTACCACACACGCATAAGAACCGAGTTGGGATCCTTGCACTATGGAAAACACTGGACACACGAATCTGTGGGGCTTGCAGGTCAAGTCAGTAAGACACTGTATGCGCCTCTAATAAGTCACATGTTTAATGGCGGCATCAGACTTCCTCCTACAGTTATGGAGTTTATGAAAGGGGGGAGAGGAGAGATGAAGAGGGGAGAGGAAGGAGTATAAAGGCTGTAGCTCAGTGGTAGAGCACTTGCTTACCATGCAAGGCCTCAGATTCAATACCCAGAACTGCAAAATTAACTAAGTAACTAAAATATAAATAAGAATCAGTGTGGTCTCATGGGTAGAAGAATAAGAACAAGAAGAACTGTTTTGGTTCTTAAACATTTAGATATAAAAAATGCATGATTACCTAAATGAAATTACTGTGTGCAGAACTATTTTGGTCTTGGTTTTGCCACCACTGATGGACTACTATTAATAAAGGAGTTCCTAGAGTCCGAATTCTTGCAGCACCTTCAGAAATGGCCACCGAAATGGACGTTAGCCTCTGACACGCTGGCTTGTCAGAAGCACAAAGGCAGGCTCGGCATGCTGTTGCTCCTAATCAAGAAAAAGGAACCGTGGCCCGGGTTCATTAGCTCTCTGACTAATAATCCTGAGATCAAGAAAATCTGCCTCCTGAAGATTCCTGCCTTTAATTCCAGCACTTTAGGGGGACATGAAAAGAAGGCTGCTTGAGTTCAAGACCAGCCTGGGCTACATATTGAGTTCCAGGCTATCTCAGGCAACGAAGCAAGACTCGCAAAGAACCAAAAGCTGGGTTCGGGGACATAAGCCTGTAAGTGGAGGGTCAGGAGTTTGAGGTCATCTGAGGCTAGCCTGGGCTACAGAAGACCTGTCTCAAAAAACTAAAGAAATAAAACAGACTACTGTCATATAGAACCATCACCCTCCCGATTACTCCCAGGAAGAGTCAAAGACACACCCTCACTGTGTAAATCTTAAAACAAGGATGGGGGGGACGGCTCAGACAATAAGTAACCTGCTCCCCACACAAACATGAACATCTGAGCTCCACACCTGAGGTAAACACTGGGTGGGTCCATGATCCTAGCATCGGGGAGCTGGAGACAGCAGGATCCCTGGGGCTCCCTGGCCAGCTAGTCTAGCACAGTCAGAAAGCTCCAGGATCAACAAAAAACCCTGTCTCCAAAAATTTGGTGGAGGGGCCAGAGAAGTGGCTCAGTGGTTAAGAGCACCGGCTGCTTTTCCAGGGGACCCACAGTGACTCATAATCACCTGTAACTCCAGCTCTAGGGGATCCACTGCCCTCTCCTGACCTCTGTGGGGACTGCATTCACATGGTACACAAAAATTCAGACAGGAAAAACACCCATAGTCATAAAATAAAAATAAGTAAATCCTTGGTTTTTTTTTTAAAGGTGTAGATTAATACACACAAGGGGGGGCAGAGACAGGCAGACAGACAGAGAGAGAGGGACAGAGATGTGCTAATTCTGCCACTCCAAAATTTTGCAGGTGGTACCAAAAGCCTGAGATCCTCCTCCAGTGAGTGACAGCGGCCATTCTTTTGAACACTCACTGAAAAGAATTCCAGTGACTCGATGGTTTTGCAAAGGCACTGCCTCTCATCTAGAGATTTTATTTATTCAGGAAAAGGAAAAACAATAGACGTGATACAGTGAACCACTTCCCGTAGCTGTGGATTGATCAAGATCTCTGCTGGGGCTAGAGAGAGATGCTCAGGGCTAAGAGCGCTTGCTTCGAGTAAGCAGAAAGAACTGAGTTTAGACCCTGGCACTCACATAAATGGCACGGTTCGTGCCTGTAACCTCAGTGCTGGAGGTCGGGGCTTGCTGGCCGCCAGCTGAGCTCAGGGCTCAGTTACTGAAGTCTTTTCTAGTATCCCCACCTCCAAGTGTGCATATGCCCGACACACACAGAAACAACTGGTCCCTTTTAGCCTCTGGCAGGCAGTTTTGTACTCAAGCCACTTTATAAATATTCAAAGACCAGGTATCCCAAAATAGAACTGTTTCCCCAAAACCTGTGTAAATATTTAGGATGACAGCTAGCATGAAAGGGTTTCTATAAATCCTCAAGGCAGGCATTTAAAGTTAGTTTAGGGGTGACCAAGGCTAAGCAAGCCCTCTGCTAGGGATCCGCTTCCCTGAACCAGACTTGGGCTTGTGACAGAGAGAAGGCGGAGGCTTCAGAAAGGTCACAGAGATGTATTTGGAAGGAGTCAAGGATATAGCACTCATTTTCAAATCCTGCAGGGTGATCCATTTCCAGAACACAACACCCGGCCCCACAAGAGTCTAGACACTTATGCCAAGAACTGTAGTCTCATGACCAGCCATTTATAGGCTCTGTGGGCAGAAGGGGGAGGGTGCTGCACGGGATGTGGCGGACTGTATCACTTGCTCTTGTCTAAAGGTGAGTTCCTTAGCTCAGGTTTGCACACTTAATCCCTTACTAGATCCTTATAAAGGATTCCGAGTCAACAGACGGCTGCCGGCCGGCCACAACAGAGAAGCCAATCATCGTGGGAAACTAGCACACCTTCGGGGTTTTTCAAAACACATTTACTCCCGAGTGTATGGAAAGGTAAATTACAGCCTCGACTGATGTCACCTGATGCTCAGTCATGAATGGATCCTAATGCCCTTTTATCAGTTAATTCATTTGCAAATACAGAATTCAAAGGCTAGCTTGAGAGGAAAAAAATACAAGAAGTAAATTAAATTTAGTTTGCAAAACAAAACAAAAAAAAACGGCGTAAGAGCTGGCTACAAATGGTTTTGCACGTGACTTGACACACTATTGAACAGAATCAAGGAAGGCCTCTGAGGTTTTGTGTAGGAACACTGACACCAGCCTCCTTGTGTTGGATTTACAACACTGTAACTTTCATGAGAAATTATAGGTCAATACCAAAGAGAGATTTGAAGTTTGGAACCCAGGATGTTCTAATCCAAAAACGACACACCTCCATGTCAAAATATGAAGAAATCGGAGCTGGAGAGATGACTCATGGCCTAAGAGCACCCACATGGCGATTAACAACTGTCCATAGTTCCAGCTCCAGGGGATCTGACACCGTTTTCTGACCTCTATGGACACACACACTATAGACATAACATTAAGACAAAACACCTATACACATAAAATAAATTAAGCAAAAGATTTTAAAACATAATGAATTAAGATAAACACATAAGGTTTCAAGAAGATTTGGTTTGACACAGGAAATTGCTTTACATTTCTCTTGCATTATAATACAGTTCAATATAGTTAGGCAACTCTTCCATGAGTCACTATTTAAGTACAGTGGCTACAAGTCAAATTTGAAAGCTTGTCTGTTCTTGAACCTCAAGGCTTCTAGGTGTCTCAAATACATCAGAAAGAGGACAGCTGGGATGGCCATGACAGGAAAGCAGCTAATCATAACCCTGTCTATTTCAACACACCCATCTTCCCATGACTTAAGGAGAATTTTTTTGGGGGATACAGGATCTCACTATGTGCCTCTGGCTGGTCTGGCACTGCTATGTAGATCAGGCTGGCCTTGAACTCCTCTGCCTCCTGACTGCTGGGATTACAAGCACATATCACCACAACAGTCGAATAAAACTACTCTTACAACCCCTTAAAATTATATCAGGGGGATAAAGGGTAGTGCAAAGCTGGTGCTGTTCAAATGACGGCCAAACACGGTGCTTTAATGTAACTGAGAGGCAGAGGGGGTTAATTTGTTCTGGTTCAAATCTTGCCTAGCCAACTAACCACGTTACTTTCATCAAATTACTTGGACTGGGATTCCCCTTACTCACCTCTGAATCAGATTCACAAAATAAGAAACTCCCACCGGGCGTTGGTGGTGCACGCCTTTAATCCCAGCACCCGGGAGGCAGAGGCAGGCGGATCTCTGTGAATTCAAGACCAGCCTGGTCTACTGAGCGAGTTCCAGGACAGGCTACAAAATACCTGTCTCAAAAAACAAGAGGGAAATGTGGACTCAAGTTCCTCCACGGCCCTGAACAAAGCTATTTTACCTTAAGAAAGTTAAGAACCCTCCCCAGAACACACAGAGGGTGAAGCAGATTTCTAATTTGGTCATTAAAATCAGTGAACCCTAAAGGCCCAGTTCTCATGATGCCCGAGATCATTTTCCTATGAAGGAGTAACTGGACAGAGAAGACACCATTGAAGAAGAGAAAGGCCTATGACAAGACTCAAATGCTGTCTGCGCTCCTATGAGCCCTATGAGGGCAAAAGGGTACCCCAGTCCCTTGACAAATTCAGAGCTCTCCCAAAAGGCAGTTCTAATAAACCTGGCCTACACAGGTGAGAACCAACTAACTGCCTTTTAGCTGAGTTTTGCTTATAGAAGAGCAAGTTATTAATTCTCAGGTATATTTCTTCCTCTCTGCTGCCACGCGCTCCATCTTCTCCATTTAATTCTCGCGGTTACCCAGCGAGATTAGAAAGACTGCAGCCCACCAATCTGTTTATCCCGACACAGGTCAGAAAGATTAAATCTGTCCTCAGCTGCCTAGGCTATATGAGGCTGCCGAGTCGCAATCCCAACATCTCTTCGCCTTGAAAATCCCCCCCCCCGTTATTCACCCCGAATGCTCGTCCCATCTTCATGCGGCAAACACGTGCTAAGGAGGAAAACAATAGGTGATCTAAAGTCAGATTCTGCTCCTTGTAATCTGTAGAAAAAAAAAAAAAAGACTGAGACTGAGGCCCTCTCTTCTTTCTCAGAACTGTAACCTTTGAAGTGAAGTAAATTCCTAAAGTGGATCCCCGCTGCGAGGAGAAACGGGTGGGGGTGAGGGAAAAGACAACCAGAGTTGGAAAGACGAGGCGTGGTCCAGCAATTCCGCAAACTCTGGGATCTGCTAGGAGAAAGGTCATGCTGAGAAGTCCGGGTCGTGTCTTCCTTCACTCAGTGACTGGGAACCTTGATCATGTGCTTCTCCACACTTGCTTCCTGAGGACATTTAAAGACCTGCCTTCCTCACTCAGGGTGGTGCGGTAAATAGAAGGGAAGTAGACCCGAGAGGGCGCAGAGGAGAAGTACATAGGAAGCCCACCCTCCTGGGCTTGATGCACGCAGGCACCAAAGGAGACCCAGGCCAGGAAGCTCCCGGAGATTGCGATACTCACTGGCGGATAACGGTCAGGGCGAAGCGAGGCATCTCGGCAGGGGCCCCAAGACGCAGGAGCCACCACCCAGCTCTGCTGCACTGCTCAGCGCCGGCACTGCGGGGCCACCTTGCCTGCACTACTTCCGCCTGCGCTGCGAACCGGCTCCGTAGCCATTGGTCGAAGTGGCCGCTAACGTCATCACAAGGCTACCAATAAGAGCGGAGATTGGGACCCGGAGCGACCCCGCCCAGGCCACTGGGCGCTTGCGCCCCGGCGCGCCGGCCTGTGATTGGCGCCTGGCAGGTGCCGGGGGCCCCGCCCTAGGATAACGTGCTGCCAGACCTACCAGCTCTAGACCGCTGCCTGCGCCAGGGGCAGGCAGATAAGGACTGCTTTGATTTTTTTTCTTCTACAACTGATTTGAGGAAGGCGTGTAAGGTGTGTAGGATTTCTAGCATGCCAATGACTCTCTCACAGTGTAGAGCCAGGGGTTGTATCCTGTGGAGTTTAGCTGTTATCCTCTACCTGACAAGTAAGGTCAAGCTAGGTATGTAGATCTAGACCAACCCAGCAACCCGGTTGTGCTCTCAACTTCTTAACCAAAAATTTTAGTGAGGCCCCTTTCTTGCCTTCTGCTTTGTTGGGTCTGATCTTACCAAGCCAGTTAATCTGCTAATGCTGCTACTGTAAGTCACTATTACATCTTGCTAATATCTGTTGTAATAAAAGTTGAATTCAACCACTGCTACCGTAGTCTCTACTGTAATAAATGTGGACTCTATCGCAATGGCCTAGAATAAAGTCCTTTCCTTACAAACAAATGCAGCTACATAGGTACTGTATAAAAACCTTCAAGAGTGGCTGGAGACATGAATCAGCGAGTTAGGAGCACTGATTGCTCCGCTAGAGAATTCGGTTCGATTCTCAGTACCCACATGGAGGCTTATCAAGCATTTGCCACTACAGTTCTATGGGATCTGGCGCCCTCTTCTGGCCCCTGCTTATGTTATGCACAGATATGCATGCAAACAAAACACCTCTACACATTGCCTGAGCTCTTGTCCTCAGCCAAGCGATAGGAAAATGGGAAAGACGTGACCGGAGTTGAGGGTTATCGTCTGTGCCCAAAAAAGCCAGGTTTGGCCACCTATCCTTCATACGCCAAATGAAAGAGCCAAATAAGTATCAAAAGGCAGAAAAGGGAGGTATTCAGTGCAGTCACCCCTCCCAGTCCATCTGTGGTATCCTAAAATTTCACTGTAAATGGAAGTTAAGATAAATACAACCAAGCCGTCCATCCAAGACCGGTTGACCCAGAGGATTATCTCAGCTCCCGCTCTGCCTGTCTCTGACTGTTATTTTCCTCCCAGAGAAAGGTCCTCTGGCTGCCTTTAGGACTTTCTCCTCCAGCAGGATATTCCTGGGGAGATTCTAATTTGGAGGATCTATCCTTTCAACCATCTCATAAGCAAAGAGAAGGGCACAGAGTCTCTTTAGAATGTATTCATTCTTGCCAAGTATCGTGGCACACATGCTTAACCCTACCACTTAGGGGACAGAGACAGAACAATCTTCTGAGTTTGAGTCCAGCCTGGTCTACAAAGGGAGTTCCAGTCCAGCTGGGGCTATATAGTTAGCCCCCACCTCGAAGCAATAATATTAATATATAGTAACAACAATGGATAATAATAATAATGTAATGGCTAGTTTATATCAACTTGCCACAAGCCATTGTTATCTGAAAGGAGGGGACATCGATCGAGAAAATGCCTGCATAAGATACAATTTATGGGCTGGGCATTGGTGGTGCACGCCTTTAATCCCAGCACTCAGGAGGTAGAGGCAGGTGGATCTCTGTGAGTTCAAAACCAGCTTGGCCTACAGAGCTAGTTCCAGGACAGCCTCCAAAACAATACAGAGAAACCCTGTCTCAAAAAAACAAAAAAAGAAAGAAAGGAAAAAAAGATGCAGTTTATGGCATTTTCTTAACTAGTGGTGAATGGGGGGGCAGCCTATTATAGGGGTGGTGCTGTCCTTGGGCTGAGCAAGCCATGGTGAGCAAGCTAGTAAGCAGCACTCCTGCATGACCTCTGCATCAGGTCCCGCCTTCAGGTTCCTGCCCTGCTTGAGTTCCTGTCCTGACTTCCTTCAATGATGCACTAAGATGTGGCAGGTAACCCAAATAAACCCTTTCCTCCCCAACTTGCTTCTGTTGGGCATGGTGTTTCGTCACAGCAATAGAAACCCTAACTGAGACAAGTAATAAATAAATAACAGTAATAATAGTCTACTGATTCTTGCCAGGCAGACTGTTTAACTATAGGCCCAAGCATGTCACAGGTCAATGCTAATGTTGGAGTGTGCTGTCTTCTTGCATTCTTAGCTAAATCCTTGCATTTGATAGTCCCTGTGTTGAGGTAATTCCCCACTTATATTTTAGATAGAGACTGATTCAAAACCTCACCCCATGTATCATTGCCTTCAATCTTGTAGCAATTGAGAGGAAAACAGTACAGAGATGAGAAATGTGGCCTCACAAGGAGCTAAGGCAATTGGTCTAGGCTCAAAAAGCTAGTAGGCACCGGACTAATTCAGACCCTCAAACTTCATTCTCAATGGATCACCTAGAGGCCTTTTAAAACACCAGGCTGAGCTCCAGGAAAACTAAATCTGGCTGAACTAGTGCTCCACACAACTAGTATGTTTGTAACGCCTCCCTGTTTGAGCCCTGAGAGCTAGCTGTTTGAAACCCTTCTTTTTCCCAACTTTCATACCCCTCTGCCTCATTTATTTATTTATTTATTTATTTATTTATTGTTAGGTTTGTTTGTTTGTTTGTTTGTTTTGAAACAGGGTCTCTCTGTGCAACTGTCCTGGCTATCCTATAACTTGCTCTGTAGACCAAGTTGGCCTTGAATTTACAGAGATCCACCAGCCTCAGGCTCCAGAGTGCTGGGATAAAGCATCCACCGCCACTCCTGTCCCTCCACTTTATTGATTGAAACAGGGTTTCGCAGTGAACTTGCAGCTCCCTGGTTCATCTAGACAGCGTGGCTAACAAGTCTCAGAATCGTCCTACCCACTCCCACCCCACCCCCAGCACGAGGATTTGTGCCCCTACAGTTGGCTTTTCACATATGTGCTACGGACAAAACTCAAGTACTCATGTTTGTGTGGTAAGCACTTCACAGCTTTTTTTTTTTTTTTGGTTTTTCGAGACAGGGTTTCTCTGTGGCTTTGGAGGCTGTCCTGGAACTCGCTTGGTAGTCCAGGCTGGTCTCGAACTCACAGAGATCCGCCTGCCTCTGCCTCCCGAGTGCTGGGATTAAAGGCGTGGGCCACCAACGCCCGGCTACTTCACAGCTTTTAAACTAGGTCATTTATGAATCTAAAGTAAAACTTATTAAAGATTCACTGGAATATGTAGACTCTAAAGTAATTGATGCATAGAAATACAAATTTCAGGCTAATTATCCTGGTCTGTCATTACACAGTGAATGCATACAGCACTATTACCCCACAAATATGTGCAGGTTTGTTTTTGTTGTTGTTTTGAGGGGGTTGTTCTTGTTTTTAGAGATAGGGTTTCTCTGTGTAACAGCCCCTGGCTGTCCTGGAACTCATTGTGTAGACCAGGCTGGCCTCGACTCACAGAGATCTGCCTGCCTCTGCCTCCTGAGGGCTGGGATTAAAGGTGTGTGTCACCAAGCCTAACATTGCATGCATTTTTAAAACACCAATTATAAAACAATCTGTAAAATTAAAGGACTCATCAGAGTACAAACAGGACTGTGAGTCTAAGATTAAATAAAAAAGACAAAGCTGGGCACCATGACACAACACTGATAACTCTGTTGCTCCAGAGTCTGAGGCAGGGGGATCTTCGGTTGGAGACCAACATGGGCCACATAAGTGAGTTCAGAGGAAGACACTCTCCAAAACGAACAGCAAAAAGAATGAACAATTGACATTCAAGTACAGAGTTGGAGTTTTCAGGAGCCAGGGAACTGTGGTTCTGTGATAGAGCAAGCATCTTTGACAAGTTGCCCTGCTAGGTCTCTTCAGGATTTTGAAGTTAGAGGCTGCGGTGGTTTATTCCAGCATGATAAAGAGGCATGCTTGGCTTTATTGGCAACATCACTGTCAAAACTGACCTAATGCCGGACCCTGAGGGAAGAGTAGGACCCTGAAACTAACAGAAAATCAGGACTACACGATAAGCCATCTGTTTTATCCAGCCATTGAGGAACAATAATGCGACCAATGATCCAAGCAAGAGGGGCTGCGAGGCCTACTGTGCCCAGCTCCCCATCAGCTTGGTATCTGGGGGTGGAGGAAGATGGGTTTTGGCAGTCTGTCAGCCAACACCTGGCATCTGTCACCAGGAGACCCCAGTAATGCTCATGACAGCCAGCCTTTTCATCGATGGACACCGAAGGGTGCCTTCTCAGTCTGATGTGCTTCCGGGGACCTCACCGTTATTTGAAGACATCCATCCACTAGTCCCTTTTCATGCCTTGCCATTTAGCCTGTCACTTCATGGGGGGGGGGGAGAACTCTTTTCGAGGCCGAGTTCACTGCTGTTTGGGGAAAATGGCAGCGGCCTGAAGGGATATTAGGAAAGTCGCAGTGCAGAGTGACATGGCTAACATTATCAGTTGTTTATGCCAAAGGGCCTCAGAAGCCTCTTCTTCCCTCCTCACCTGGCCTCGCCTTTGGGGCAAATAACCTTTGTTGTTTATGACACTGTCGAGGAAAAGTAAGCCTGTGCTCCCTGGGTTTGTGTATGTTCAAGGTTAGCTGAGTAACCCCCCCCCCCACTCCTCCAGACAGGGTTTCTCTGTGTATCCCTGACCATCCTGGAACTCTTCTGTAGACCAGGCTGACCTTGAACTCCAGAGATCTGCCTACCTCTGCCTCCCGAGTACTGGGATTAAATGCATGTGGTAGCATATCTGGATTTGTGGGGGAGTTTTGATGTTCCGAACTCTACAAACACTCCCCCCTTTAATACCCCTGATAGTCCAGCAAGCTCTCCTACCTTAAAAGGCACAAGAAGAGACTCAAAGCTTAGACCATGTATGTTGGCCCTGGGGCCAACCCGGCTCTTACAGCTTAAGTGTATCCCTGATCCCCTCACAGCACCCCGGTTCTCTATCT